GTAGATATGTGGGGTGTGTTAGAACGAGCCGTTTTAGGGGGGCGTGGCAGAGTCTTAACTTTGATAAATAATATCTCTTTGGTTTTGAGACTTTAGTCTTTGCAACTTCAGGGATCTTATCTATGCACAATCAGCTTGTAACACTCCAAAGAGAAAGGAAAACTTGAAATCGCATCATATGACCCCTTTAAACAACAATACAAAGAAATCACAAACTGGTCCACTAGTCTTTTTTCGGGAGTCAGACTACTGGGTACTGGATGTATGGTTTCTGAATCACTAAAAGGAACCGATTCATTTGAATCATTTGTTTTGTTACAAGATTACACTGGTCACATTGAATGTTTTGTGCTCTAGACTCGGTGTTGCTATTTAATTATCAATGTCATTCGGTTCCATTATTTTTTTAAAAGGAACTGGTTCTGAATAAGAAGCAAACTAGAGCTGCAGCAAATGTGATGCTGGATGTGGTGAATAGGGAAGTGCTTCAGTAACTCACACTACAGAGCAGGCGAAGGAGCCCTTCTGGGTCTGGCTCTCTCTGATGAGGAAGGTGCCATCTCGTTTGCCTCTCAGGAGATCCTCCGCCTGTGTGCGCTTGATGTCCCCAACGTACCAGGCGCACTCATCGTGATGTGCTTGATCGTCATCGTCATCCAACAGAGAATAGAAGCTGAAAGTTCATAAATGGAAAGATTACTTTTTCTATATTTGATGTACCTGTCAAAAATGTGTTTGATTTTGTTTCATTAATGACATTAATTATGTAAAAACAGTAGTTTAACATACAAAGACAAACAATAAATACATCCACTATTACATCTCTATAAAATGCAATGCAAGATCTTTCTATTTATTTTTGACAATTTCAACTTTTTTTTGTAACAAAAGAAAAAAAAACATCAGTTTAAGAGCTTTTTGAATAAAACTTGTCTCGTGATCAGTCCATGTTCAAAATCGAATGTTGAGTGAAGTTCATGATGAAGTCTGTGTTAGGATGTTGAAATGAATGTCCAGATAGTTCTGAGGGTATCCCAAAAGGCTTCAAACTAATTCAGGTTGTATTTGCTTATAGTATCTCAAGACAAGATGAACAGAACTTACTCCTCTGATTCGTTCTTTATACCCAGCCAGTCGTTGATCTTCCTTTGTTTGGTGCCTTTCTGAGTCAACCATCTGCAAAGACAATATCAGTGTTGTTAACATCAGCAGTGGTTACCAGTGAATAAATAACCAGAGTGCAGAGTTTCCTGCCACGCTTTGCTTATCACAACTAGGGCTGTCGCGATTCGTCGATTTTATTAGACTATTCGATTTTTTTAAATCCTCGACTTCATTTTGCTCGCGTCGACTAACCGGCAAAATACCGGAAGTGGCGCATTTCACGGACGAGAATGTATAAAACACAATAACACATAATTAAGCATAATTGTGAATTCACAAATGCTACGATTTAATTAAATAATTATATGCGATGCAGTTCTAATACAGTATATGCGCTTTAATTATTTACATGCGTGTAGGTTAAGTACGTGCGTCACACAGCGGCTCCCTTCACAGTAGTTCCACAGGAACTGTTATCATTTACATGTGTGGAGCGTCTCAAACTCCATCTCTGCATGTGGTTGTGAGTTTGGGTTTATTATAACGTTCATCTGGGAACACAACGTGCGCCATTTCATCAGATTTGTAAGGTAAATCATTTATAAATCTACGCAAACACAGGAGAATACATCGCGGTTTCAAAATAAAAGCTCAAACCCTCACACTTTTTTTTTAAAAACAAAGAGTTTACACGTTTTGATGTCCACATATTCTTTTAATTACAGTGGCTATAGCATTTCTGTCCTAAAGAAATGGCCAAATACTAAAGATTAAGTGGACATTTGAATTAAATGGTGCTTGGTCAATATTAAACAAGGATTAGATCGCACAGCAATGTGTAAAAATAATCATCAGGCCGTTGGCACCCTCTGCAGGCCTTTGTTGTAATGCATAATGTACATTAGCTCTATTGTTTATAATACATTATGTATTTTAACAATTTTGTTCAATAAAACC